GAAAGAGTGGGAGGTGGTGAGGCGCTCCAGGCTAGGGGACGTGGGAGAGATCCTGCACAGGCAGGAAACAGACAGAGAACCCCGAGGTAAGGGTGAAAGGGAAGGGGCTATGTGGGAATTGGCCCAGGGAATAGCAGGAACAGTTACTGCAAGAAGCAGCATGTGGCTGCTATTTGTAGGGTCTCTGGTTTGGGACCCAGAGTGGCAGGCCTGGGTCCTCCCACTGCAACTGGGGAAGTAGTTTAAGCCCCAAGAAGGGGATAAGATGTATTTGGAAACACAAGCAGAAGGATAGAATTTAAAGGCAAACACCTCCAGAGCTCTATACCAGGACTGAGACAGACTTAACACTAGCCTGGAAGGGGCAAAGAGCAACGTGACAGGATTGTGAATGGGAGAATTTATCCTGAGTATCAGCTAAATCTTTCTCACAGTGAGAAAACTCCATCCCTGGGGACATTTGAAACTAGCCTGGAGGAAGCACTAGATGACGTGCTGTAAGAAGATGGGCAAGACAACCAAAGAGCTTTCTTCCATTGGTAGTTTCTGTACATTCCATCTTTTGGGGATATATTTGGATCATTTCCTAATCTGCATGGCAGTTATCCAGTAATGCCCAATCCTGTGAGATGTGCTGAAGTCCATGAGATTTGAGGGAGGTGTTCAAATTGCAAGAGTTAGGTTATATTTTTATATGTGACTGTATTTTTCCTAGGGGTAACCACTAAAATAGTTCATTTTCCTACTTGGCTGATGTTAGGCTTATGTCCTGAGTGCTTCTGGCATTGCATAGCAATATGAGCAAAACCCTAAACATGTTCTTTTTGTATGTGCATCCTGGAGGTATTGATTCAGCCTTGGTTATGTATAAATCAGACACTGAAACTAAATGAGATCTACAGATGCAATAAAAATAACTTCTCTGGGATAATTCAGTGATGCTGGGTCCATCTACCCTGGAGGAAATTAACAAATGGCAGCAGTCTGAGGTTTGATCTAACATGATGTGGGTTACATAGTTTGCAATTGCAGTTGTTGTCCCATGGTCATCAGTCCTTAGTGATTTGCAGTTCACCCCAAGAGATAGGAATAGGAGCCGACATAATGGACTCATGGTCTGCCTAGTCCAGTATCCTGTCTCTGACATAGGCTAGCACCAGATGTAAAAACAGAGATGCAAGAAATGCTGCAATAGGCAGATAGAAAATATTTGCTTCATGAATGTTTCCTCCTACTCCCAAATCAAGATTGCTTTTAAACCCTACAAAATGAGCTTTTATCTCCCTTTCAATGCTCCTTTTGTTCACTGTAGCTATTATAAATCTAGATGTCCTTCTTATTCCTATAAATATCTAATTCTTCTTTGCATCTGGCTAAATGTGTGTGTGTGTTTGCGTGTGTACATGCTTTTGTGCCTTTGTGTTTATGTTGCCGGAAAATTATGGCTGAAGCAGTCAAAGCAGTGACATTCCATTGGATTTGTCAATACGGGATGCAGCCATTATACAAATATGTAAAATTAAGAGAGAGAGAATAGTAGCAACAGCTCATCCAGCCAGCATGAACCCTGCATATGCTTCATCTGTGCTACACCAACTTTTTGTGATGTTACTTATTTCCTTTTTCTCTACTTTCTTTTGACTATATTCTGCCCCATATGACTGAAACTAAGGCTGAATCTAGACTACACTGCTTTTCCGGGAAATTTTTCAAAAAAAAAACAGACTCACTCTTTCGCTGTCCCTGTAAACCTTGTTTGAAGAGGAATAAGGGACATGTCGAAAAAGCACATTTTTCTGAAATCTGGCACTGTGTAGATGCACCAAATTTCAGAAAAGCCTCTTTTGACAGTAAAGCAGAAAAAGATATGCAATTTGCGTACCTCAAATTGCATTTCATTTTCCAACTTATCCTTGCAGTGTAGACCTAGCCAAAGACTGTATATCCATTCAGGATCCTATCCTGTAACTCTCCTAATTCCCTAAGTAGTCTCTGTCTGTGCTGATATATTTAGTTGCAGTATAATTTTAAACTGCTCTATGTCACTCCTTGCTGTTTGGAGACACAAGCTGGGTGGACTCAGTGGTAAACAAAAGAGACAAAGCTGGGACTCTAATAATATGCAAGCCTATTTGATTGGCTGCAATTTTAGCTGTGTTCTATAATAAATGGCTCTTCTTTAAGAAAGTCTGTAGCACTGTATAGAATATTAGCCTAGTAAATAGACCCACAGAAAGCAGTGGATAGGAATTACTCATACCATTAGGGGTTTACAAGATTATTAGCATTGGGATACATGGGTATAATGCTAGAGTAGGAAATAAGTGGAGTTATTTCAGATTTACACCCATATATCAGAGGGCAGAATTAGCCCTTTAGGATACGTCTACACTAGCTCATTAGTTCAAGCTAGGTAGGGTAATGAGGGCAAGCTGAGTTGCAAATGAAGCCCTATGCGACACGGAGGTAGGAATGAAAAGTAATGGTAGTTCGAATTAGGATCTTTAATTCAAACTACCTACTCCATAGGTAACCGTGTAACCGTGGGCACGGAGTTCGGACTAAGGGGGATTTAAAAATGGCGGCGCCCGGGAACATGCAAATGAAGCCCGGGATATTTAAATCCCAGGCTTCATTTGCAACTCCGCTTGCCCTCATTACCCTACCTAGCTTGAACTAACGAGCTAGTGTAGACGTACTCTTAGATTGCAAACTCTTCAGTACAGGAACTTGACTTAATCCACAGACCCTCTCACAGTGGTGCCTTTCCTGAGAGCCTTTCCATTAACTCCCATTGGTACAAATCTGACAGGAGCCTCAGTCAATATAAGTTTACAGAACGTTTTGGGCACAGAACATAATAGAATAATTACCAAAATAATTACAACCGGTAACACAAAACAACCAGCCTTTCAAAGTTTGGAGCAAACTTTTTAATTTTTTCTTCCATCCAAAAACGTCATCTATGGTGACATTTCTGAACAAGCTTCAGTTATTCTGAAAAGCTTTTTACATACACTCCAGTATAAATATTCTGACAGGAAAAAAATAATAATTCCCAAACCCAACCACTCATGCTCACATTTGGAGGGATGCATAACATGGCATGCGTCGCTGAGACTGGATGTTCCTTGCTTCTCACGGAGACTATGACTAGGTGTGGCATGCAGTATCAGACACCTCGGGACCAGGCTGGTTGTTTGTATAGACAGGGTCACCACCAGCTGGGGAAGGAGAATGGCTCTAACACTAGCACTTTGAGATGAGATGGTCAACATAAGAATTCACAGATGCCTCCAGAAATGGGTGGAAGAGGAAGCTGGTGCCCTGCAGGGAGAGAGAACATCATAGTACCTATAGCCTAATTCCATTGACAGCATCTCTGATTGCAGCTTACTGCACCGTGTCTTTGTCTTAGGTTTTAATACAGTTTAAGCTTGAACTGCATTTTTTGAGAATGCTGCCAGAAGGAACCGCACAGCCAAGCAGTTGGGTAACAGCATGTCCCATGGGGTTGGTGTTGGTAGCACTACCTTGTGTGACATAAAGCCATGCAGAGCCAAGTTCATTGTGCATTTCAGGACTTCACCATGGAAGGCTAAACATGGGACAGGTGCTGGCTTAGCCAATATATTACAGGGGTGTAAATTGACTGAGGATGCATCTACACTGCACCCTTAGCAAATTGCGTAGCTTATTTCAAGTTCATTTTGAAATAGCTTATTTCATAATTTAATTTCAAAATAAACCACATTCCAACACGTCCCTTAACCCTTGTGGAACGAGGTTTACAGGGACATTGGAATAGTGAGCCCATGACATTTCAAAATAACGGGCTTGCTCAAAAGACACAGAATAGCTATTTTGGAATACTGGAATATCCGGAAATAGCGCCGCAGTGTAGATGTACCCTGGGAGAACTAAGCTTACTTTCATCTACAGTACAGCAGCTGTGGGTCAAACCTGGCTGTAGGAATGTCCCATCCTAGCACATTTCAAATGCCACACTCAGCACTCACTGCTTAGTTTCACCTACTTACTTTGTCCTTATAATAATACATTGGTTGTCTTGGGGGAGAGGGGGTTCCACACTAGAGATCCGAGTTGTTTTTAATCCAATTTGATTTTTAAATAAAATTACAGTACGCACAGAAACAAAAGATGCAGAATACCGCAAGGATTCACAGAACTCATAATCAAGTACTTAGTAACAATATATATATATATATATATATTAAGCTTTAGATTAAAAAATATATTTCTGAGTTTTTATATATTCATACTATAGGATGCAAGGGACGTTAATGCATTTGGGCACACAGTGATTCACAGTGCTTTGCCCTTTACTATAATGCCTGCTCTAACATTATAATGTTTCCTTTTTAGAAGAAGGCAGCTAGATTAGACTATTTTTTCTTTTTCTTTTTTTAAATTTAGAAAGCTGGATGCAGCGCTGCAGCTGAACTGCTCCTCTGTCTGCACGAAGATCTCCTGGCACAATTCTCTTCTGTTAGGATGGAGCAATATCATAGTGTTCTGGGTGTTTAGATGATCTTGTTTTCCAGGGCTGCAATCCTTTTTGTCACAGCTTCCAGTGAGCAAGAGTTAAGGAATAAAGGTAGCAATGCACTTCATGCATCAAAGTTAGTGGAGATACCCCAATGTATGTCTGCTGAGGATCTGGCCAGTTACAAAAATCAAGTCAGTGGTTTTATCACCTGAAAAGTCATCGTTCATTCCAAGGAAAACAATGGCCAACCACCGTACATTTGCTATCAAAGCAAGAGTGAAACACATAACAATGTGTATGTGTTTTGAGGTGATGATCTTGGAAGATGAGTTGTGGGGAGAGAAGATTTTCTTTATTTTAGATTCTCATAAAATTCTCAATCCCTTGTAACCTTTTTGTGCCTCCTGTGGGGGTTGTGAAGCAGAGACTGAAAAACATCGATATAGTCTGACGTCCTGTATAACATCAGCCATAGAATTTCACCAATGATACCTTTAGAGGAGGGGATATACTATGTGACACTCAGGGCGGGGCTGGTAACTTGAGGCTGAACTATAGCATCTCACGTAGAAAGACATCCAGTTCCAGTGGAAAGTGATGGGGAATCTACCTTATCCCTCAGCCCTGGCCTACTCTAGGGAGTTATCATATATATAGTAGCCCAGTGTCTGTGAGTCTCAGCTCGGCCCCGGTGGGGGAGCAAGCGGCGGCAAGTGGCTGTTTGGGGTCTGCTCAGCTGGGCCCTGGCTAGTGTTGCCAGGTAGACCCCGCTAAAATAATGGACACACTTGTCTGGGGGGAGGGGGAA